TCCTCCTCCTCCTCCTCCTCCTCCTCCTTCTTCTCCTCCTCCTCCTCCTCTCTACTTTAAGAAAGCTAGACTTGTCTCTTCTGGAGAAGCAACAGGCAAATGAGGCACAGCACAGAACTTCCTCCTGGCAGGATATGAAACATCTCCCCTCCTGAGTAGATGTATTTTACAGATAGGATGCTCCTGTTGGGGAGGGGGGTAGCTCCTGCTAGTAGCATGCTCCCCGAACCCCAGGAGGCCTTGAGCGTAATCTCATTTTCTTAATTATGTTTTTAGGAGAGCTTCCCAAACCAAGTAAGCATGGGGCCCACAAACTTCATGTCTGTCAGTGACTCTAGTCCTGGTAATCCCTGTGTGTTCTTTCCTTCTTGTCTTGACACATCCTGGTATGTGGAGTTGTGATGCCATCAACACAATACAATTCTAAAACCCCGAGTGACCAGCTGATTGCTTAACTTTTAGTTATTTTTAATCATACAAACCACATCATGATGACATAAGAGTTCCAAAGACACAGCACAATTATATTATGGACTGGACTATTTTAAGGTGTATCACATTGCTTCCTATTGCTTTTGGTTACAATGCAAAAACCATTTTCTATTTGTTTGATTAAATAAAATTAACCTGGGGTCAGGAGGTTGAGCCAGAAACTAGCTGACAGGAAATGGTAGGGAGGAACCAGGTAGAGTGTTCTTAAGTGGGAGTTGAACAGAAGGTCTCCTAGGTGGAAGGCCTCCTGGGTTTTTCATGAGACACTTGCAAGGAGAGAAGGTATGGGACTTGCGATTCAGCCCCTCTGAGCGAGCAGAATTTTACCTTAACCTTTGGATCCTGAGTTCTATAGAAGGTTAGAGATCTAGATGAGGTTTCTCTTAGTGGCTCTGAGACAGGCATGAGGGAACAGAATTCCTGCCAGCTGCAGCCCCAATGGGAATTGCAGTTGCTCATTAGGAAGGCAGTTGCTTATGGGGCAGCAGCTGAATTGGGTGAAAAACGACATCTCCAATCCATCATCTAAAACACAAGTTCTGCTTTATGCCTGCTCCTTTCCAGCCCTATGCAGCCAGAGATGGAGTCACTCGTGCCATACGGCACAGACAAGTTGATTTGTTGTTTTCTTGGCTCATCTGGTGTTTTCCGGTGTAGTTCCGTCTGCATATGCATATTTTGTTAAGGTTGTGTCATACTCCGTTAACTGGCTCTAGGTGCTGATTCAGCCATTTGGGAGACAGTGTCCTCCCACTTCAGAGACTCCTCCTGCAGTGAACACCATCATTTATGAGACTTGTTCCTTCCCCATTGTGGTTTTCAGGGAAAGTACTAGAAGTAGGAAACCTGGATCAAACAGGATGAATGTTTCTTTGTTTTCCAGTTTTATGGCCATGCTGCTTGCCAAAAGAGGGGTAGAAATTTTCAAAGCAATTCAGCATTGGCTATTAGCAATTTAAATTAGCACAACCTAAATTGGAAGCCAAAGATCTTTTCCACCAAACCTGGATCGAATTCTCTCATGTACACCACAGGACTCTCACTCATCTTTGGTTTTTTTTCTGTGTTTTCTGTACTGTCTGTCCATCATCCCTTCAACTAAACGACTGCACTCCAAGGCCATTATTGTCCATTTTCTAGCACCATAAACTATACTTGAGAGGACTAGGAAGTACTCTGGACTGGCACCTGACACCGTTTTACAGTGCTACATTGCCACAGCAGTACACTGGAGAAGAATTGCTTCTCCAGTCTAAGGGGGATTTCTCCAAGAGCCAGAGCTATTCACCCTGGTCCCAGGAAATCCCCTGTACCAACTCACTGTTCTAGCCAGAAACCACCCCAACAGAGATAAGCCAGTTCAAGCCTTAGAGCATTTGTCTTATCCCTATAACAAACTTTTAAGACCTAAGAGCTCATTCTCAAAAACTGACCCAAAAGGCCAATTACATTTCCTTTTCAGGGAAAAAAATCATGAAAAATTTTAATGATCTGAATGGAGATAAAAGTTCTTTTATCTCCATGTAAGTAATTATTTCCTTGCTCATTAATTAGGATATTAATATAGAAAATGTCTGAAATATAATGGTTAATATGGAGTAAACTGTCAACTCTAATTCTTTAAATCAAACTGTCACTATAGCTCACTCATGCTTACAGAGCCTGAAGCCTGTAATATTATCTGCCATTGTGTTCATCAATAAATAAGGACTTGTTCATTAATAAGTAAGGAAGCTTCATGACTACATTCAGAAATGGCCTTAGAAAAACATTTTCTGGAAATTTCTTCAACTTCTATATACTTAAAAAGAATCATTAATACAATTCTAATTTAGTCATTGGCACTGATTTGCTTTTATTTTTTTTTAACTTAATGAAGAAGAAAGAACAGAAATTTCAGATAAATACCTGTTACAAATTTCCAGAACCGTGCCTACATGAATCATTTAACCTCACAGCCAGATCTGGGCTGAGGGTGACTTGGTTGTAATATGTTCACATTAATTCATTAAACCCCCCCATTCAGACACAAACACCAAAGTCTGAACTATTTGAAAAGAAAAAAATCATCCAAACATTAAAAAATGTAGGAAGTCCAGAGTAGTTCATTTTAAACCTAAGGAAAATAGATCTGGCTAAATTTTTAATGTGCATGATCTTATAACACAGCCAAAGATTAAATATGGCAAAGCAGGAATCATCTGTCTTCCACCTTCTAAAGCACATAAAGTATATATTTGTTTCAGGGAACACAAAGAAAGCTTTGGTCTTGTCTACCAAGGAGCTATAAATGTCTCTTATTGGAGATATTTCTGCATGTCACAATTAGATATGTTACTGTCACACAGTAGATAGAGGGGCCCAGGTTGATGGGCACATAACAGCCCATAATACAGAGGATTCTGCACAATACAAACTTTTGTCTATTCTGTCAACAGTGATGAACTTGCAAAGTTTTGACATATAGCTTAACCCTCAAAACTGAAGTCTAATCTATAATGACACAATACATCAATTTCAAGGAAGAAAAATCTTGCTCTAATCATAGGAAATTAATGTGCATGATTTTATAACACAGCCAAAGATTAAATATCACTATGGTACAAAACAAAAGGACCACATTTATCTTATAAACATAAGTTTGGCATGTAGGATCACTGGCTTTTCAAGAAGGGAATCAAGGCCAATCATTATTCCTAGTAGCATGGTTCTCTTTTTCCAATGTTAATTTTTAAAAAGTAGAAATTGCATATGGGTATAACTTAGAATATCAAATGTGCATATTCTTGGTTTAATCTGAGTAGGATTTTTAATAGTTATTCAACATGGTAGAACTAAAAATAAAGTAAGAATTGAAGGAAGTGTGACAATCTTCAAATAGTTCAGGGGGAAGAAAAAAATTTTAAAACAGGGAAACTAAAATGTGGTCAAGATCCACAAGGGATGTACATCCATTTCCATTAGGGTCTATGAGGCTCCAGGAATACCTGGCATCTAGAAGTACCCAATGGCTTCCCAGGAATTTTCCTTGCTCCTAGCCAATATGGTTACTGATAGAACCAGTCCCTTCCTGGCTTAGGCAACACCCAGGCCCTAAAGAAACCAAGTCCAGTAGAGTGAACAATTCTAGACCAAAGTCTGCTGCTTGCATGTGGCCACATGGATGTTCTATTTCCTTAGGTATCTTGTATCATATCTGGCAAGCCTACACTCATATTTTAGTATCTGAACATGGACAGTATGGGAATAAACTTCACCTGGATCACCAGAAACAAGGGTCATGATGTCTTTACTGTAGTCATAGAGAGGCTGAGGACAAAGTTGGGCAGCAGGGAATGTTATCAATATCTGCCTTTTGCCCACTGTGTTGTGTGTGTTTGGGTGTTATGATTTCGCTTGCTTTCCCATACCCAAAGAGTCCACATCTAAAACCCCAAATTATAAAGAGGATAACTGCACTTTATGTTACCAGGAGGCTGTTTTTTCTCTTTCCTATTTTTAAAACTGTCACCACTGGTTTATTTTCAGATGGAGTTATGAGAGTGAAATGTGAGCCAAGCAAACAAAATTGCTAGCCATGGTCTGAATACAAGATACTGCCATGAACAGACACACAGTTACAAGTGTGTCTTTCTTTTTAGGGTAGCACCAGATGACATCATGAGACAGAAACAAGAAAAATATTTCTAGATATCCAAAAAAAAATCAGAGAAGAGGCTAATAGAAGTAATAGTTATGTGAAAATCATATATACATATTATGTACATACACATTATATATACATATTTATGGAGCATATACATATTATGTTCTACAAATTATACCTACACATTATACAGGAGTGGGACTTGTGAAACTTATGAGCTGTCAGAGAAGCAGATAATGATGAAAAATAGTTTTAAACAACCACACAGAATGTCCTTAGGCTTTGCTTCTTCTCTGTGAGCTGCAAAGACACCCCTGCCGATTTCTTTGCTGCTTGAATCCCCATGTCTAGCTGGATGAGCATCGAGCTGAGCAAAAGAAACTAAAACTCCTACGGAAGCAGCAGGCACAGATCCAGAGAGAGAAGGACCAGCTTCAGAGTGAACACAACCGAGCCATCCTCGCTCGAAGCAAACTTGAGAGTCTGTGTCGGGAGCTGCAGAGGCACAACAAGACACTGAAGGTATGTGGCACGTTGGAATGACACATTTCTTAGCTGTTGCATAGACACAGGCCTCTGTTACCTGGAAAAGCATGAGTTACAACCAGAGGACTTACAGTCAAATACTGGCTCTGCTACTTGCTCATTTGTGATCTTCAAGTTTTTACCTTTGTGAATGGTTCCTCCATCATCTGATTGTGTGGTCAGAAGGGGAAAGCTAAATGATATTCCATTTGCAAGGTGCTTACATATAACAACAGCTGCAGGCCCAGAGTGAAATAAATGCCATGCCTCTTTCTTGCTTGCTAGGTGGAGTTTTTTGTTTGTTTATTTTGATTGGTTGTTTAGATGGTCCTTCATTTACTATCTAATTGTTTTTATTTTTACTTTATACGATTGGGTGTTTTTCCAGCATGTATGTCTGTGCATCACATGTGTCCCTAGTGGCCAAGGAAGCCAGAAGAAGGCATAGGAACTATTGTTATAGACAGTTGAGCTCTGCTGTGTGGGTGCTGGAACTAAACCCAGGTCCTCTGAGAAAGTAGCCAACACTCAACCTCTAAACCATCTCTCCATCCCTTAGATTGCACTTTAAAAATTTGTAAAAATTCAGCATTTATTTTAATTTAATGAATTCTGCATGACAAGGCATAGACACAAAGCTAATTGACATGCAAAAGTGAGACAGAGAGCCAAAAATATCAATAATTGTCTGAGAAAAGAAGCTACTTAGAAAAACACCGGAGAGCTCTTTCAGTCTTAATTACTCAATTTAAAAATAATAGACTGATCACTTCATTATGTCTGCATGGGTTTCATTAATTACAGCATGGGTCTCTAGCAATATATTTAATTTGATTACCAGCTCCATTCAAAAGTAAGATGTAGGGCTCTTCTAAATAAGTCTGTTTGCATTTACAGTCCCCTTTCCAATGGTAGATCTCAAAGCTTCAGAGACACAGTAATTAAGCAGGCAATATTCCTCCAAGGAAGTTATTACTATATTTGTTTACAAGGAGATACCTTAGAAAAAACAACCAGACATTAAAATCATTAACTACTTTGACAAGCAGGAAGAGATAGTGGTTCCTCGTTGCTAAATTATCCTGTCATGTTTGGGAAATTGGAAGCCAGTGTGATGAACTGTGAGTCTTACAAGTTCCAGAGGATGGGCTTTCTTCAATGATTGTACTAGGAACCACCACAAGTCCAGGTTAGATGGGGACCTGGAGATGGGTGCATCATCTTCCACTCAAGGGGTGGTGTTCTGTGTTTACAAAAAACTCCAGTCTTTTTACAGTGTCATACTGTGAAGAAATGGTAATTAAATCAGATAGAGTCGAGAGAAGAGTGTGGCTTTGACTCTTTGGGACTTTGCATGTTATGTAATTTCATCTGCACAAATGGCCTTCAGAGAGTTTATATCTCTCTGGACAAGAAAACTCACTGATTCTAATTGGTCCTTTAAGACTGTGAATATTTTAATGTCAAAATAAGAATTCAAATCCCAAATACTAATCTACCTTTGATTATTTACCCATGAGCTGGGGTGTATTTAATTTGCATAGCCCATCATGTATATTCTTTCTTGATGAACAACTATTGTATGCTGTATTCCATAAGCAACAACTAGCTTTGGAATTGTCACTATAATCCCAGTATTAACTACAGAACAGTCTACTTCTTTCAAATACATCCATTTTGTTTCTTGAAGCACTGATGTTAGTTTTATTCACATTTCACTTTTTGTCTTTTTGAATAACTGGTCATTTTATCATCATTAACCTCCCCTGGTAATAATCTTTATCTTGATGTTTACATTATTTGACATCTATACAGCATCTTAAGTTTCTTACTTTTTTGTTCATTTGTTTGCACAGTGTATCTCTTTTCATCTGCTCATTTTCTACCTGGGTCTACAAAATATTATTTACAAATACACACACACACAAAAAAAATATCTGCCTTTAACTAGGGTGCCAGTGCCAGTCCATTAACAAAGTAATGACTGATACAACAAAGTAATGACTGATAACTATATTAAACAGTAGATACCATGTTTACTTATTTACAACATACATTCCACCTCTCTCTTTTCTGTTCTCTATTCTTTTCCTGCCTTCCAATTTGAAGATTCTTTAAATTATATTTTTAATTTATCTCCTGGATTTTACAATTATACCTCTCTGCATTATTTACATTGGTTAATCTATGGTTACAATCAACATTTTAAACTGTTCCTAGTCTACCTAGAGTTAATATTATACCACATTACATATGTAGAAAGACTAAAGCTAAGTCCAATTATTTCTTTCTTTAAGCTAGAATTTTCTAAGTATACAATTATAAGACTTTATAAGGCCCATTAGATGACAATATCATGTGTTTTTGTCTTTACTATCATCCGTATTCCTTGAAAAATGAAAAAGAAAACTGCCTTTTATCTTTTCCCAGATACTGGACTTTCCTGCTGCCTTTTTGATTTGGTCTAAAACTTCAGTGTCCTGTCTGGATCCACTTCCTCTCAGCCTAAAGAGCTCCCCAGTAGAGTTTGTTGGATCCCAGCTTGGCTGGCAGTCAATTCTCTAGTTGTCCTTTATCTTAAAGATGTTTTTTTTTATTGATTTATTTGCTCTTCCTACTGATAAAAGCTGTAATTATTGGATGCTGAAGATGTCCACTGATGGGATACGTTCATGGATCTTCCACTTTAATCTGGCCTCTATAATTCTGATGACGACAGCAGCAGTAACTTGAGCTGTTATTTCTTCTAATATGACATCATTTGTCTAAGGCTATTTTCAAAGTCTGTCTAGTGTTTTTTACTTTTAGAACCTCTGTATCTTCTAATGGTTTTTATTTTTTAAAAGTGGTATGTATATGTGTGTTTTCCACTCATGTATGTAAGTATACCATATGTATGTGGTACATATGGAGACCAGAAGAGGATGAAGAATCCCCTGAATCTGGACTCACAGATGGTTGTAAATTGCCATGTGGGTATTGGGAACCAAACCCAAGAACTCTGCAAGAGCATCCAGTGATCTTAACCACTGAGCCAGCTCTCCAATCCCTGAAAGTGTTCTTATATTTTTGGTTGTGAGCCTAGCCTTTAACGGCTGAGCCATCTCTCCAGCCCCTGAAGGTGTTCTTTACATATATTCCATTTGGTATTTGCTGAGCTTTATGTATCTGTACGTTTTTCACCAAACTTGGATTTTTCAAGTGTTATTTCTTTAAATATATTTGCTAAATCATGTTCTCTCCCTTCTCCTCTCCTGAGATTCTAATTGTATGCTTATTAACCTTGTGACAGTGTCTCACGGCTCCCTTTATGCCTTCCTGAATCTTCTGATCAGCTCACTTCATAGTCCTTTCTTTGTTATCTCTGTTATGCTATGGGACCACAAAGTGATTTTTAAATTTCTAATTACAGAGTTTTAAATTCCAGGACTCTCACTTGTTTAGAAGATTGTTTTTCTTGTCTGAGATATCCTGCTTTTAATTCGTTGGCTATTTTTCTTTACATCATGGAACAGAATTATAACTACTGTTTTATAATTCTTTCCTGCTATTTTCACATTTGGACCATTGCAGAACAAATTATTTGGTTATTGTCTTTGTTTTGATAGTGTGCCTTTTTTGTAGGGTTTTCATATGTCAGGTCATTGCCAACGACATTCTAGATGGTATGGCATTGTAGAGACTCTAGATGCTATTATTATGTTATTTGACTTTCCAAATGCTATAATAAATACCTTACCAAAATCAACTTAAAGGAGGACAAGGCTTATTTGGCTCCTGGTTTCAGAGATTTCAGTCCATGGTCACTTGATGCTTGTTTCTGGGCCATGATGAAGGACATCACTGTCAGGAGCATATGATAGAGAAAGTGGCTAACCTTAAGGTGGCAAGGAAGCAGCAAGAAACAGAAAAGGGCTCCAGGGACAAGATAGAGTCTTCAAGGTATTCACTAGGTACCAGGAGTCTACTTCTTCCAAGTAAGCTCCCCTTCTGAACAACTGATTCATCTACGAAGGAATCAATGGATTAACCCACTGACAAAATTAGCACTGTCATGGTATAATCACCTCTCAAAACCCAATAATCTGAGAACAGACTTTCAACACAGGAGCTTTTGGAGTATATACACTATATATCTAAACCCTAACTATACTCTTCTGAAAAATATTGACAATTTTTAATTCAGTTACTATGGTTAGCTTCAAATACCAACTTTTGTCTCTTGGACAGCAGTCCAAATGCCTGTTCAATTTTCTTCCTTAGATAGACTGTCTTGAGTCCATCCTGCAAAGTGTAGATCGGTTTTGCTCAGAGACTGGAGACTTTTCTCCACAGAATTCGGGTTTTTCTCCCTCGCTGACTCTTTTCTTGAAACTTTCCTCTCATCTTTCTGTGGTTATACAGTTTCCCAGAATTTCACACTCTTGTTCTTATCTGAGAGATGGTAGATGTTCTGGGGGAAGTTTAACACATCTCTTTCTGTTTCCAAGTCTTCCTACAAGCTAAAATCTGTTTAAAAGGGGAAAGGGTGAGAAACTTACATTACACTATACCAAGTGCCAATTGGCCTCCAGAGTCCACAGATGTTATCTCTAGAAGACTAAACTTGGCAAGGCCTTCATCGTCGTCCATGCTAATAGGACAGCCTCAGTACCCGGTTTTAAAGCCCACACTTTAGGAGCTGAGGAAGGCACAGAAAAGGAAAGCACAGTCAGGTCTCTCCAGCACTATCCATTTTAACTGAAGTTTTTTTCTTCAGTGAGTGAAACTCAAATGCAAACCTTGACAGTTTAGTAAAATTCAGAAAAAGGCCAGTGAAGGCCACAGCAAGGCACTTGTTTCAACAATTCCTGTAATTACATAAAGGAATAAATTTGAACCTGAAACTATATTGAAAAAGAACTTTCTAGTACAATGTGGGTAGGCAGCTTAGGGAACATGATTTGAGTAAAGAAAGAAGTAGTATTTATTAACAGAGTATCAAGGAATTTTCACATGGAAATGACCATAGAAATCATACCATCCAAGCTACTCATGTGCCTGTACACGAGTTAATAATGTATTAATCATTAAATAAACATTTACTGAATACCTATGGATTATGAGCCAGGCATGGCATCAGTTTTAAGACATATGATGCTGCTTGCAAAGGTGTTTTCAGCTTTTGTCTCTCAGTTTTGTTTGTCTTAATAATTTCCAGTATCTATAAACACACTTGACTAATTTAAAAAGTTATCTCAGACACTGTCCAAGTGATGGCAAATTATTTACCAATGAACTCAATTTAATAACATTTAGCAACACTTTTTTTGTCTAGTTGAAAAAAAAAAACAGCATAGCTAGGAATGTTGTTATTTGGGAGCATGAGGCAGGAGGATCACAAGTTCAAAGTAGTCTGGGTGACCTTACAAGACCTTGTACTTGTCCTCCTATTAAAACTTGGGAAGGCAATACAGTACAAAATTCAAGCTGCCATTTAATAAGGCAGCTTGACAAAGTAGCCTGACAAATGTTTAATAACTTGCTAAGATCTAGAAAATCTCAAACTTTCTCAGGAGCATAACAGTTTTTTCCACTCACACATGGAATCTTTATAAATTAAAACAATGAAATTAAGATCATGATCTATAGTCCTATAATCATAATTTTGGGACTTGTAAGTATATCAGGAGCAATGAGGTGACAATCACACTGTGCAATAATTCTTAGTGATATATGTAGTAGTAATTGATACACGGAGATACTAAATCTAAAGAGATTTAGATTTAGATTAGAGATACTTTAGATTAGAGATACTCAATCTTTAGATTAAAAAATATATTTTATAATATCTCTGAGAAGCTACACTACGATGAAATTACAATTCTTGTGGCCAACAAGTTAGGAAATATGTTAAAATTCTATAGGAAATATGGAAATGAGTGATAAATTACTTCCAGAGCATATATTTTCCAGATCAATTTTTGTTTTGATCACATTGTTCTGTCCTAATAAAGACTTGTACAATTACTTCTGCTAAAATAATTCTGTCTTTTTAAATCCTGTTACATAATTTGAAGTTTGTAAGCAACTAAAGGCAGTGTAATTTTACATGCCAAGCATGAAGCAAGCTTTCCTATTAACAATTAACCAGGACTGAAAGGAAATCCGAAAATGTGTGTATCATCTGTCAGCAGTGAAAACTTGTCTATCTTTGGGATATTATAGCAAGAGCAAACCCTTTATTCTAAAAGAATGAAAGGAACAATTAATTACAACACAGATAATTCTTGGTATATAGAGAGGAATCTGGGCACATTATTAGTGGTTAGCAATGAATGTAGAGTTTTGATGTAAGAGAAAAGAGAGCAGAAATAATATAAAAGCAATTTTCAATTCCTTGACAAGTGGTAAGGGGGGGTGGTAAAATGTTTCTTTGTTATCATTCTAGAGTTAAAGAGATTTCAAACTCATTGCTTTCTAATTCAAAATTTACACTGCAAGTATTTCAGTTATCCCAGGTGATGCATAAAGTGATTGTTTTGTCCAGAAATAAAATATCCAGCATATTTGGAAAGATTCTCCTTTATATTTTTGATTGCTGCGTTAAAGTTTCCTGATAATATTTTTTTTTATTAAGAGCACTTGCTGCTCTTGCAGAGGGTCCAAGTTCAGTTCCCAGCATCCATGTGAGGCATCTCAAATCACCTATAACTCCAATTTCAGAGGATCTGACACCCTCTTCTGGCCTCTCTGGGTATCCACATATATGTAACTATTCTCTCTCTCTCTCTCTCTCTCTCTCTCTCTCTCTCTCTCAAATAAAGAAAAAAGTTGATATTATAATCATTTATTCTTATGAAATCTGGGTGATATAATTATGTGGTTTATATTCCATTATTTTATAGAGTAATATTATATCTATTGCTTTCCACCCCTACCTCCCTCATCACCCCCCCACACACACACACACCAGACAACTCATGATCTGTGACCCATCACTCAGTAAATCCCAGTGACCTTTTTCTCCAGGCCATAACTAAGAGATCAAAGTTGTGTGACTCCGTGACTGTCAGAAGTCACTGCTGGCCACTCACTCAGCCAGAAACTGCCATCTTTAAAGGAAGCCTGCTCATCAATGAACACAGTGGCTGCCTGTGACTGCACTCACAGCTGAAGCTCTGCTCATACATTTATTTGGGGCTTGGGCTACTTTAGCTGTAGAGAACTGAAGAGAAACACCCCACTTACTCTGCACACTGAGCCTTTCAGTGACCTGACATTGAGGTCTCTAAACCGTGGGGACTTATAAACCAGCACAAAATGTTCTGCTATTCATCCACAGGAGGAAACCCTCCAACGGGCACGTGAGGAAGAAGAGAAGAGGAAAGAGATCACAAGTCATCTTCAGACTACCCTGACAGACATCCAGACTCAGATAGAGCAACAGAGCGAGCGAAATATGAAGCTCTGCCAGGAGAACTCAGAGCTCGCAGAAAAACTGAAAAGCATCATTGATCAGTATGAGCTCAGGGAGGAGGTGAGATCCACATCAAACAGCTTGCAGAACTGTACACAGGCCTAGATTTGGGTCCTGAAAGTGTGGAGCTTAGTTAAGAAACAATTCATGGCCAGTCCTCTCAACCAATTAATAGTTAAGACTGGGGTTCTTTTACTAACCAAAATAAAAACAGATAGTCCTATAAAACACCTGGCTGAACTTACACTAAACTAAAAGCAGTAAACCTGTGGGCACACTTACCTGGCACAATACTTCAGTCCTTTGAAAATCCTTTCCATGTAAACAAAAGATACTCCCAGTCTCTTCATTAGGATCAACATGTCATCTCAATTAACAAGCTGAATAATGTAATGGTTATAATTATCATTTATTTAGTGCTTAATTTGTGTCAAGCAATGTATTAGGTAGTATACTTTGCACACAATATGTCATTTGTCTCGATTTTACTCTCAAACAGAAAACACTATATGTTACTTTATATGTTGTTGTGACCAAATATCTAACAAGAAGCACTATAAGGAAGGAAGGGTAAATTCTAGCTAACAGTTTTGGATGATTATTCCATCATGGCATGGAAAGCATGGGAGGGGAAAGAATGGTGACAAGAGCAGGTAGCTAGTTGGTTCCACTGGGTCCACAGACAGGAAACAGAACAATGGATTCCCATGCTTAGCTTACTTTCTTGTCTTCATTCAATCCGGGGCTCTAGGCCATGCAATGGCACCATCCACAATTAAGGGGGTCTTCCCATCTCAATAAACCTAACCAAGGTAGCCCAGAAGTTAACCAAACGTAGACAGTCCCTCACAGACAAGGTCAGAAGCTAACCAAATGTAGACAGTCCCTCACATGCATGCACAGAAGTGAACCTAATGTAGTCCAGAGGTCAAGGTGTAGAGGACACAGAATGACTGCTTACCAGTTCATTGATGAGCTCTGGTCATGTCATCTCTCTGTGTTAGTCAGCTTCCCTTCACTATAAGGAATACTTGAGACACTCAGCTCATCAAGAAAAGGGTTTGCTCTGGCTCAGATTTGAAGGTTTCAGTCCAGACAAGTGACCCCATCACTATGGGGCATATGGCAAAGCAGCACATCACTGTGGTGAGAAACGTGTGGTGGAGCCAAGTTGCTTACTCCATGGCAACTGGGAAGGGAGGGCACTAACTGCCAAAGACTAGAGGGTCTCGTAGCAAGCCTCGCCTCTTGAATTTTCTACCACATCTCAATACTGTAAGGCTGGATACTAAGAATTTAATAGTTGGGCCTTTGTGGGGGACATTCAGATCCAAATTACATTAGCATTGAACAAAGTAAGCAAAGCATTCAGGGGTCTGGACCTCAGCACCACACATCTAGGGACTACATACTGGTACATCAAAGCTTTCTTACAACCCTTGAGACAAACATGCAGAGAAATCAGCTTGATAAATTATATTCATTTTATGGTTAAAAGAAGTTGTACAGTCATGAAAGGGGCCATAATACCAGGCCAGAGTACAGTGGAGAATTATCTGGGAGGTGTAGCATAATGAATAGCATCATATCAACTGGCTACCAAATTGAGAAAAATCATGTTGGTACCTTTAGGTATTAATACTGGTGACCTCTGGCACCTCTACCTTTTCAAGCTGCCTCTGAACAGTGCAAAGTGGGGTGCTCTCACCAACTTACAGTTTTAATATAATGCCTTCAGTGAGGCCAGAATATTTATTCCTTAGGATGTTAAGAACTAGGAAATTTGTATTCATGTGAGTTATTTTCCATTTTTTTTTTTTTTTGCATTTCTAAGCACTGATCATAAGCCTGGCTTTTATGTGTTCTTTTCCCTTAGCATCTGGACAAAATATTTAAACACAGAGAACTACAGCAGAAGTTGGTGGATGCGAAACTTGAACAGGCTCAAGAAATGATGCAGGAAGCAGAGGAGCGGCACAAACGGGAAAAGGAATATGTATTTATCCTTTTAGTCGGTGTGCATATGCAATTCATCTCTTTCAGGGGCTCTCTAGGAACGCTGTCTGATGATCGCAGATCACTACACTCACATAAAAACCCATGCATCTATGGAGAAGTCAATGGGTTAGCCCAGTAGGAGACTCTGGGCCTACACCATTATTCACACAGAATAGTCATTCAACATACTCAACAAGTGTTTTTCAAGTGCCTATTATCTGCTGAGAGCAGTTGAGGTGCTAGATTAGAGCTGTGAATAAGACAGAGAAGGGCCATCTCCTACCAGGCAGATTAGAGGCTGAGTGGGAAGAGATGAGCAGTTGCAAGTAAAACAGGAAGGATATTTAGATAATATTAAGTTATTAGGCAAACAAGGAAGAACTGAGATGGGGCTGAATCAGGAGCTGAGCGGGGGGAGTGCTTACTTAGACTGAGTGATCAGGACAGGTGGGGAGGATGTATGAGCCATGTTCTGCCTCCTGAGGAACTACCTCATGGGAGTCTTCTTCAGCAGTGGTACCTTGTCAGTGACAAGACTCGATGTTAGACCCACCATGGCACGTTCCACACTCAGGGAAAGGTCAGAGAAGGTGGAACAAGTGGAGAAATGTTCAAGATGTGGGGATAATTGGTGTCCAACTGTGCAGCTTTGTAGGGCTTGGAGAGGTGGTTGGATTTTATTCCAAATGTAATGGGAAATGACTGAGTAGTTCTACAAAAGAAGGTGTCATGACTGGCTCCCCATATGTACAGGTTACTGTGGCTCCTGAATGGAAAGTGGACCAGAAAGAAAGAAGGCAGGGGTTCCCAGTGCAATCCCATGATGTGTGATGATGCCTTGGATAAGAAGGTGGCAGCTAAAAGAAGAGATAGAGACAGGGAATGTTACTTTGAAGTAAAAGCAGCAATCAATCCAAGAGGTTGACAATGCTGAGGGGGGGTGCTATTGATGACTTCTGAATTTTGGACTGAAGAAACTGAATGGTGGTATTTATTGCTCTTACCTCCAAGTAACCACCAAAAGCTACAAGGGCATTGCACAGATGACAAAATTGAGGCTTAAAGGGGACACACAGTTTAAGGTTTCACACCACTAAGAGAAGCAATATGTTTCAAGCACACATGCATCTGTCCCCAACCTAAAGCTCTCTGTGATGCTTCATCACATTCAGAGCTGCGTTTCAGCTGTGTGAAACATGTACCAGTTACTGGAGGAAGAGAGAGATAGGGGGAGAGGAGGGGTGTGTGTGTGTGTGTGTGTGTGCGTGCGTGCGTGCGTGCGTGCGT